ATTTAATCGACAGTTTCTTATTCAAATTATAAATAATAAAAAAACGATTGTTACATTATAACCTTGACATTCTTGCAGATTGAACGCATATAACAATAATCTAAAAAGTGAACTTATATAATTTTTTTCTTGAATAATATTTTTAACCAAACATGACAAAAACAAAAATTCATTCAAATCGGTGATTCCGCGTTCGTAACCACCGGCGGATCTACGGGGAATGAGAGGAGGGGGGAGAGTGAGGGGCGAGGGGGCTTTCGGGCTGAAGACCCTCCAAAATGGTAAAATGGTAATCTTGTCTTAAGAATAAAAATTATTAAAAAAAAGAATAAAAAATTATCTCTAAACGTATTATTATTCGTGAAATTGCATTTAATAGTACTTCAAAAATCACTAATATACTATATAGTTCATATAGTTTTTTTATTTTTATTCCAAAGTAATTATTGTTATATATATATATTACAAATTTTCTTTAATCGACCTTTGTGTATTAAATTTAAACATAACTATTTAATTGGGACTAAGATCACTTATTAATTATTTAATAAACTACTGAATGCTCATTTCCTCTATGTTTATTGACGTTTCGATCCCGGTATTTTCTTTTATTTAGTCAACGATGGGATCCTCTCCAAAGCTAGAATTTTAAAAAATAGAGCTTCGATCAGGCCAGGGACTCACCGACAGGCTAATATAAATATATAGCACATATATAAAGTAGTAGCTTAATATATGTGCTAGTGGACGGTGCTGAGACTGTCGGGGTTTCTCTGGCCTGATCGAAGCTCTATTTTTTAAAATTCTAGCTTTGAAGAGGATCCCATCGTTGGCTTATAAAAAGAAAATACCGGGATCGAAACGTCAATAAACATAGAGGAAATGAACATTCAGTAGTTTATTAAATAATTAATAAGTGATCTTCTTCACAATTAAATAGTTATATTTAAATGTATATCATGGGTGATAAATATTCAGGACGCAGTCTTCTTTAAAATTTTTTTTTATTTTTTCCAACGTTTCAACCCAAAATTACAATATTAGTTAAGATTCATGAGCCATCAATCACTATAGTTTATTATTTACAATTAGCGGTCGTATACTATTATATCTCTGATTGTAATTTAAAAAAAAAAATTCAGCCCTGAAGATGACCCACATGTTTGGGTTGAAACGATGGCAAAAATAAAATAAAAATTTAAAAAATATTGCGTCCTAAATATTTATCACCCATGATATGTAGAACAGTCGACTAACTTCCTTCAAGAATTCATTAAATGTATATCTATATATAATAAACATTTCTGGCTGAAGCCTCTCCCAAAATTAAATCCTTGATCCGTTAGTGTTCGTAACCTCTCGTTGTAATACAACAAAACCGTAAATCACACTTCTCTACTTCATTGCCTATTACGTTACTGAATCCCTTTTTAAACAACCAAACTTTAATCCCAGTATTCCTTTATTCTCCATATGACGTATTAAATTGAAGTCCTATGTCCTCGAACATCATCTCAAGACCAAAAGTTTAAAATTTCACAACTCCTGAGAATAAAAGCATATTCGTTTGACCGTCACCTAGCTTTTGTCATTGTCCAAGAAGAATGCTGTGGATTTATGCGGCCATGAATCCTATCAGTTTAATAACCCTAAGCCGTAAGCGGTTGTTCCAAGGATATCTTTCCAACTTAGCCCTAACATATACATACATTATTACTGAATTTTACGTTGACGATTATTGTAAGAAGTTTAAAAGATAAACTAAATCAGCCTAAATAACACTTTTGTTCAATGTTATTCCAGTGCTTGTTAAATACTTAATAAAACGGCTTATTAACTACATTGTGATATAATATGATATTTTTCGCAATGAGTTATTAATTTATTTGTTACATTATACAGTAAAAGTACTGCTGAAGCCGCTAAAGAAATATTTTGTATTTGGTTAGACGTGACCTTGATAATGATTTAAGACCCACTGTGCTCAATCAACTCGTCGGATGAACGCCTCCTCTTAGAGATCATCATTATTTCCCACACAAAAAGAATGAATAAAAAGTACTTAATGAATGAATGAAAAAGAAAGAAACAATAATAACAACATATAACACTGGTATCTTATGTTGCAATATGTATGGTTCTATACCCCTAAAAATGTTAAATAGCTTAGGCATCTAGTCGACTTTTCCTATTTTCTTAATTTATTTTTTAAATTTATTTATATGATATTTACAACTGTATACAAAAAATACATCTAGTAAATTCGCACATGGATATAATGGCATGAAACGTATGTTAAGAAACTACCCATTGGTAGCACTCTAATAATATGTCTATATTAGGAGATCACATGGCCATCTTCTTTTCAGACGCCTCGGATATCAGGAATTAAATAGGAAGCTAGGTTAGAAACAAGAGGGTTGGTATGGTTATGAAGTTTATTTTGGAAGGACAGATATCTGGATTGGACCAAATCTGATACATAAGGAACATTAAGGTCATTATGGATGGTTTTATTTGTAATAAAGTAAGGAGCATTGAGGATTTTACGAAGGATTTTGGATTGTAAGGATTGGATGCGAGAGGAATTTGAAGGTTTGGTGGAGCCCCAAAGCTCAACTCCGTAAGTGTAAATAGGCTTTATTATAGTCATGTAAATGAGTCTTTTGTAATTAATTGGAAGTTTAGAGCGTTTGTCTAGTAAGTGTTGAAGTAAGCGGAAACGTCGAGCTGTTTCTTGTAGTTTCAGTCTGATATGAGGATTCCAAGTTAGACGTTTGTCCAGGTTGAGTCCTAGGTAATTTATTTTAATTTACATATTTTATTCATTTATGTAGATTAATTGTTATTGATTTTGATTTTATTTTTGTTCTTGGAAATTTTGGGGGAGTGGACGAGAATATCATCGTTTCTCTACTTTTTTTTTGGGGGAGGGAGGGAGAGGGGACGTTATCGCTGATAGTAGATGAAAGGAAGATGCAAAAAATGCTTTGGGATATAACAGATAGCGAAGTTTACGGGAAAGATTGGGGGCATGATGAGGATATTTTTTTGCCAAGAAATCTGCTGCCGAATCCCATATTGCCCATAAGCACTAGCGGATCCTTGATTTAAATTTTTGGGGGCTTCAGCCCGAAAGCTGTTTTTGTTATATACAAATATTTCTGCCTACTTAGGGGACACCTAAGTAGAGAGAAATATTTAAAAGATTGACAGTAGTCACCAAGATTTACAAAAACATTTAAATAAACGATTGCCCAATTTCTCCCAAGTAGGAAATTTAAGATTTATGTTTTTTTAAGCGAGTCAAGTTTTTTGTTGAATAGAAAGCGATAACTTGGAAGATATTTGATTTAAGTAATTAAACATTGTTCCACAGTAAACTAGACAAAAGTTTGTCATTGTTAAAACTATTTAAAGAGGACAAACACAGCTAAGCTCCGTTAAAAAAAAGTCATAAATTATTTGTGATTTTTTTTTTTATCACTCCTGAAACTGTACTAGAGTTATCACACTTTTAGACAAATTTCCGCGTTTAATAAGGTTTAAGTCCATTTTAATTAAGTTGAGATTTATGAGGAAATTTTTTAAATATCTATTTCATAGGACGTGGTTATATTTTACTCGTAAGGACACCGTACACGGTAATTCATGAATGAACGTCACAAGAATGGCAGAGATTGCTCGGGATCGCTTTGATCATGAAGACCCCTACACGTTCAATCATTACTGATCATTACTTATCATTGCTGAAGCCAATTCAACTCAGTTGTAAACAAAGAAACAGCATAGATAAGCTTATTTGGACATTGTCCCTTATAGTATTGGACATCAAGAGAAAAATGGAGATATAATAATTACTTCCTAGTGCCTGAAAATTGTTTAGACCAAAGTTAGAAAAATATAAGTCAACTACTTACAAAAATTTAGGAAAAGTATTGCGAAAATAATCAAAATGTTAAGAAAAATGGAAACATTAATGAAAAATAAACAACAGTTAAAATTTTTTTTTCTATATGCAAATTGTGAAGTTTTCGTTTTTTTTTTTTTCAACTTGTTGCCTAGATGACTATTTAAAGTAAAAATAGTTGAAAATGGTTAATAAAAATATAAACTAGGGATATAAACAAATACTTTTATGAAATTATTTACTTAAAAATGAGACCTTGGTAAACTAATCTATCTAGTAATAAGGTTAGTCTCATAGAAAATCGTTTTGACAAAAGTTAGTAAAATATAAGTCTACTACTTACAAAAATTAAGGAAAGGTATTGCGAAAATAATAAATTAGTTGAAGAAAATGGGAAAAGAACTGACAAATATACACAACAGTTAAAGATTTTTTTTTTCTTTAAGTAAATTGTGAAGTATCCACTTTTTTTTTTAAATTGTTGCCCACTTGACTGTTTAAAATAAATAGTTGAAGATGGTTTATAAAATATAAACAAGGGATATGAAAAATTATTTAACTATTTTCTATAATGAAAATCAGAAATTTAAAATGGTTGTGAGGCCTAGGTAGCCTAACCTATCCAGTAGTATGGTTAGTCTCCCCACTACTTTTACCTCAGTCCCCCCTTCACTTCTCGTGAATGAACCTTTGATTTCTGGATGTTCGGAAATCCGCCATACACCACCATCATACTTCATTCACTACCTTACAAGATAATTCGGAACGTCATTAGTGCCTCGGAATGCAATTCCGAATGACCGTGTAGAGTCCCTTGTTGATATTATTCTTAAGATATTTGTTCATTTTATAGTCACACACAAAGATATGCCGTGTGTATTTTTCTTTCCTTAAATTAGAGTTTACAGAAATAGGTTTCTAGAGAAAATGACTTGACGAATTTCCTCTATCCCTGTCCCAAGTATCACCACTAAAGAACTAGAAGAAACTGGGAAACACGGGATGGTGTTATCCCCTTACCTCAGGTAGATCGGGGTTTCGGAATCCCTCTCTCCAGAACGGAAGGGAGTGGGAGCTTCCTTCGTTCAGTCTTCATTCAACCTTTCGGCCTCAGCTAACGGTACGTACCATCACATTATCAATACGGAATATTGTAAACATATATATAATATACAATATTAATAAATTGTAATTTATACGTGTAATAATTATTGATACCTAAAATGATTGATAAACTATTTTTCTTATTTATATTTTATTAGTGGTTTCGAATCCAAAATACTTGAATTTCAACATCTTTATGCCAGGGCTTAATTTTATTTTTTAACAGTTTTGGTATGTCTGGAATCTTTCGTTTCATTTTTTTCTATTTTTTAGGAACTAGAATTTTAACTTGTACCTTTTCAAATAAATGCTGTAAAGAACATTTATTAAAACAAAAAAAAAAATAATTAAGAGTTATTTCGAATTCGTCAACAGAACATAAAAAAAATATTTTCATTCTTAGACACTTAAAAAAAACGAAATATAGGAATGAAGCAATTTATTTAAGATATATTATAATATCTCTTATCTAAGCTCAATTATTGTTTATTTCTAATGAACTGTAACTTTCTTTTAAGAACTTAAATAAATAAACGTTAAAATTTTACCATAAATCCAGAACTTTATTATCAAAAACTTCCATAGAAACTTTTATTTTAAGAAATATTTTCAGTAAAAAGATTCACAGGAACTCTTAAAATGGAACTGTTTAAAAATGTTCCATAGTTGCTGTGCCTAACCCTCTGTAATAGACAAATAGAATTAGGTTATAATATTTTATATATCTTAGCGTTAAGTTGAATTGCATTATTTATTAGTATTATTTAATAATTTAATGCAGTTTCCTAAATTCTTTTAAAAATACAGACATTGTACATTGTTTTGAGTAAGTCGTTAATTATTCCTTTGAGCTCTTTTCTGAAATTATTTTTTCGGGTTAGATTCAACAAAAAAAAGTTTATTGATATGAGACAGGGTACCATTCACGTTCGTCCTATGAAAAAAAAAAAGCTCTACATTTTACGTACTTTTACAGCGGAAATATGTGAAAACCAGTTTTAGATCCATGATTTTTTTCGAAAATCACAAAATGATTGAAAACTTCAACAGGATTCCACCTATCCGTACGAAAATAATCAGGAATTTAGGGCTACATAAACTACAGAAAATGACACAAAGTGGACCTTCGTAATTATATTAGATCTAGATACAATAAAGACCTGTGGCGAATATTTCTTTATTTATTCTATGAAGAACTTTAATCCAAAAGTTATTGATACGGTTTTAAAGAGCAATAATTCTGCCTTTTAACGGATGTAAAAGTAACATTGAAGAAGACATTTTTGAGGAGTTATGGATATTTTGGTCAAAGGCAAGGAAAAAAAAAACTAAAAAAAAAAAGAAAAGTGAAATGGTTTCTATGGTAACCAGCTCAAACACAGCATTCCTTCGTATCTGTGAAATGTGTGTTAAGTGCATTTTTTTATTAAATTTTTATGGGCGTCAATAGAAAGCTAATTTTTCTCTCTTTCTTTGTGTCTAATGGGCTAAGTTTTGCGGCTATTAAGGCTATTAAGGATTCCTTTGTGATTCGTTGGTTGGAACTGAAAAATTTAACTTACATCTGTGAAAATTGCAAACTTCTATAATTTTTGCACTTAACACACTATATACAGGTGCCATAGATATGTAATATGGTATTTTAGATTCCTTTTGCGGCTCTCAGGAGTGATGGAATTGATGAATGTGGTATAAAACGAAAGTTATGAATCAGTTACACCCCCTGAAAGTTTATTAAAAAGTAATGAATGAAAAGATACGTTATTAGACTTTTTTCCAGAAATTTCGGGATGATAGGACTATTTTTTGTATGTGAAGGAGATAAATATCTTCAAAATGAGTGGTCAATAATTTGATGCAGAATTGACGAAGTTATGGCGTACCGACAAAAAACACCTTTTAGAAATAATATATAGGATAATATTTGATTTAACTGTGATTAGTATGTTTCTTCATAAAAATGTGAATGTTAATTTTCTTTGTCTTATTTTTTTAGGAGTTCTAAGTAAGGTAAATAAAAAATTAAAATGTTTAGGTATTTTAAAAACTATTTTGGTATTATTTATTTAAACAAATATATTTATTTAAATGTTACCTAGTTTAGGACTAAAGAATTATTTATAAGATTTTTTCTCTTGAGTTTTACTATTGATTGGTATATTATACCCTTTAAGAAGTCAATTTGATCTTATTTAAATATGATGATGAAAAAGTATCAAATACCGTCCATTGCGTTTTTATGTAATACTCAAAACGAATACCGATGATATAGTAACCGGTATGTTAGTTCTCCTTCAGGAACGGATGCTAAGGGCAGCTATAACTCCAGTGGTTACCCAAGAGTCCAGAAAGTTCGATGACCACGGAAGACTCTACGGAACAGCCTTTCAAGTGATCGGTTATTTAGATCAGAGTAGTTCTACACCACTAACTAGGCAAACTATTTATGGCTCATATGATTATGTAACCTTGGAATAAAAATGGCTAATGTCCAAAACTTCCAACTTTGGATGACTGCACGAAATAAATCACTGAAGATTACATATTAATTATTAAAAGGGGATCCACTAAACCATCGAATTCCTCTCGTATCCAATCCCTATAATCCAAAATCCTTCATCAAATCCTCAATGCTCCTTACTTTGTTACGAATAAAATAATCCATAAAGACCTTAATGTTCCATATGTTTCCGATTTGGCCCAATCCAGATAGCCATCCTTCCATAATAAACTTCATAACGATCCGAATTCTTTTGTTTCTAACCTTGATTGCTCTTCTTGATGATCATCCGAGTAATCTAAAAAGAAGACGGCCGCGTGATCTCCTTTTGTAGACATATTATTAGAGTGCTACCATTGGGTAGTTTCTCAACAAGCGTTTTCATGTGATTATATTTCTGTATACACATTTACTTGATTTATTTATATTAACACAGTTGTAAATATCATAAATTAAAAAAAATATTATAAGGGCCATCTAGTTAGTCTCAGTACCAAGGTTTAGTAACCAGCCATGAACCATGGTTTTGTAGCGTGAGCGGGGGTGAATCCCTGCCTCTCCAAAAAAAAAAAACAAAAAAAAAAAACAGCAAGCTACAAATACTTACTAAAATACAAAACTAAAAATACAATACCACGTTGTTAAAATTTCCTTATGTCCATTGTGGTTATTGAAATAATATATCGATAGTAAGGAATGAAAGCTGCTAAACTCAATTTAAAAAAAAAATTACACCAGTTAGAAATAAGTGTTTACAAATGTATTAAACAGAATGGAAAAACAGTAACCTAAAATTGGCTGTAAACAAACCAATAATTCGCTGAAATACGAGCGAGTGAAAGTCTAGGCGGGAAGAAATTATTTTATGCCGTCTTCGCATTCGATTACAAATAATCTCTATAATATCTTCTAGAAAAGTTAGATCCACTCATTTGTAAAGAGTGCTCTGTGATAATGACAGTGGGAACTCATTATTAGAATGGATTAAATAAAAAAAACACAGGAACCTCTATGGAGCAATCAGAAAATCTCAAAGAGCTGTTAAACTATAACGAAAAAAACTTTGAAAAAATAATGAATTATTTCCAAATTATCGGTATATACCAAAATATATAACGGAAAACAAACAGGATAATGCCAATGACCCTTTAGGGTAGAGGCGGAGATCAAATAAATATATAAAAATATATGGAGTGGAATAGATTTAGTTTTTATTACAAACTAGAATCTTAGTAGTATATTAGGGATATCTATATATTTTTAAAGCTATGTTTGTCGAATTCCGAGACAGAAGTTTCGTGATTTTTACATCTATTGGAAATAAAGAGTTTCCAATGCCTTTCGATGTATAAATTCATAAAGATGTTTATTTTTAATCCGTAGTAACTCACCTTGTGGAATTGTTAAATCTATGCTAACAATAAACTTTCATTCGTCGGTCGAGGTAATTATATAATTTATACATGAAGTTACAATAGAATTATTTCGAACCACAAACTGACTTAAATAATGAAGTAATTGAGTTTTGCAAAGTGGGCCGACGTAATTTTTAATGTTTCTAAAATCTAAATTATAACCTTAATAAACTACATCTCTATCATAACAAAAATTAATTTATATTTTTTCTACTAAGAATAATAAAAAAAAAAACGGCACTTGATAATTAACTGTTAATAAGTAATTGTAATGACAGAATCAAATAATTCTTACATAGTTACGGAAGTTAACAACAAGTAAATATGAAATAAGTAACATGACATATTCAAAATGAAGAGAAACTTCCGGTTGGTAGCAATCCAATTATATTTCTATATTAAAAGGCCATCTTCTTTTCAGACGCTTCTCAGGGTTATCAGGAATAGAAGAGGAAACAAGGTTGGAAACGAGAGGATTCGGATAGTTCAGAAGTTTATTATGGAAGGATAGGTATCTGGATTGAGCTAAACGGAAACATATGGTACATTAAGGTCGTTATTGATGATTTTATTAGTGACAAAGTAGGGAGTATTGAGGTTTTTATGAAGGGTTTTGGATTGTATGGATTGGATACGAGAGGAATTTTATAGTTTAGTTTAGTTTAGTGGTGATGACAGTGCTAAAATATTTGAAAAGGAAAATAAAACTACCTCGATGTATTCTTTTCAAGACAATTGACTAAAATCCCCAATATAGAAAATCAAGAATTGACCTGAATGGTAGATATTTTGAGATCGTATTTGTGACAACGAAAAAATTATGCACAACGAAATTAAATCAAATGTTTTCATTAAATATTAAAACGTTACCAAACAAACTTTATACTTAAGGATTCACAAAAAAAGGAATTAAATAAAAACATAATATAGGTAATAATTTCAGTTTCGATAAAAAATATGCAACGTATATGAATTTCTATTGTTATACTTGAAAACTAATTATTGGCAGAACATATCCTCCCAAACATTTTTTGACCCTGACCAAGAACTAGACCAAACTGAGCAGGTTTGGCACTTCGGCATATTGGGGGCACTTACATA